GTTCTTTAGATACTTCGTCGACTAATATTTCTTCCTTTATTCCTATTTCTCCACTTACTCCTTGCATTGGTAAACTTATTGATACATTCCGTTCCTCACTCACTTTTTGCACTAGTAAATCCAACAGGTCTGTTTGCTCCGTTTGCGCTTCCTCAAATTGTACGAAATAATCTACCTCATATTTTATTAAAATGTTGAAATTTTCGGAATATTGTAGTGCTATATTGTATTTTTTAACTTTAAATGAACTTACAGTTGTTTGAATATTGCCCAGTTGGAAGACGAAGAAAGCGAAATAAATAAAATGCATATTGAAGTGAGCAATACTTTGCCAATTCTGAAAAACATTCAAATTTACTAATGCACTGGATAACAACGCCTGTTGTTTGTAAATTGCAGAAAGATTCAATAAACGCTTTTCTAAATATATTAGCGTTGACAAAACGAATAGTGTCATATTTATTGCAAATATAGCATGGTGGGACATCTCTCATTCAAACGATAAACATGACATGTTGGAAATGGATTGTAAACGTTCCAAAGTAGTATTTGTGAAAACTTTATAGATACAAATTTGATTGGAGGATAATTTTGTTTTAAAAAAGCACTTATTTTACGTTTACTGGAAATTCCAAAATTCCATGACGCGAAAAGTTTGATAGCAACTGGCATTTTCCATCGGAATAAATGAAGTAGAACTTACTGAATGAAATTCGTGGAAGAGCCTTTTATATAGACGACCCAGTCACTTGTTTTGTCTGGTATTGTCCAAATATCGTCTGTGTAAATGCTCATTCAAATGAAAATGGCAAACTATCTGTACAAATAATCTATGTCCACGTGTAATAATGCAATGATAACAATCACAGTTTAATCCTTTATACTGAATAACTGTTGTATTGCATTGTGAAAATTAATTTATGCAAATCCGTCGCAAAATTTTGTGCATAATTCCGTTTCACAAAATTTTGCCTACAATTTCGTCACATTAGATTGAAAAATTCAATCCAATTATATTTCATGAGAAAATTCAAATTAGCAGCAAGAAATTAGGGCCTCAAAATTTTAAAAGAACCATTTTTATCGAATAAGATAATTATTTTAATTATCAATGCAGTACTATTTGATATAACCTCTTTTGTAAAAGTAAAAACAAAAGCTTTGCTTCTGAAATATTGGAAGTTTATATATCAAGAAATTTATTGGAAATGGAAATATTGATCAAATATATGTAGTTCAAATTGCCACCCTTCCTTTTGGGTCTTTTTTCTAAAAAAATTTCACTTTTATGAGTTTTCTTTTTCTTTTTTGCTATGAGAACAATTGCATGTTGACAATCTTACTAATCGCTGATAATAATAATATCTGCAAAGCCGGAAAAATGTCATGAATTGAAATTCAGAATACTTCCAAAATAATTAGATTCGTTACATAAAATTAATAAAATAAATATTTTGATACTCAAAGTGATGAATTACTCATCCAAATCCATCTCTTCCAATTTTTTAGCCAATCTTAATTCCAATGTTCAAATGTTGGAGACATAAAAGCCTTTTTTGTAAATTGTTTCCAATCTGTTAATTAAGCTTACGTGCAATTGTTGGAATATTGCAATGAACTTATACCCAAATATCGGAATTTTATAAAGGACCTCTATTGGGCTATTTGCGGTAAGCTAATGTCTCTGGAATGTTAAACCACCCTCACTATATATGAGGCTAGAGTCTAGTCAGTGATCAAGTTCAAAAGCTCGAGTAGTCTTTCGACCCGATACCTAAGCCTAAGCCTAAGCCTAAACGATCAATACGTTGTTTGAGGATGGAGTAAATGTAACATTCGCTATCCTGGTGATCCTTCTTAAAAAGTATATGCCTTTTATCTGTTAAATTTCTCTTCGAGATTGTGATTAACTTTGATTTAGACTGGTTGATTGCAGCTAAAGTTGAAGTTTCCTTTCCTGTGTTAGGTAATCCTCGGTTTGGTTGAGTAGCCGTTGCCAATACAGAAGTTTCTTTCTGTGTGGTTGGGTTGAAGCTGCATTTGACCGGAATCTAGAAGTAATGGAGGGTTGGCTTCTTATCATTTGTTCTTTTCTATTAACTAATTCTTCTGAGGAATTGCGTGAGTTTTATAACCACTATACTTCGTTTTATAACCACCACACTTCATGTTATCTTAAAATAATCAAATTGTCAACTTTTCTAACAATTATTTACTTATTTGATTATTTAAATTATGAACTTATTTTAACTTTCTCAGTTATATGGAATCAATGTATGATCATGAAATGCATTTACGTTATGAACGTTTGCCGGAATCATTGAAAATTTTGAGGACAGTTAGCCAGAATGCAGTAACTCTATTCCTGGACGTGATCCTAATCAATCCGAAGCACTTCCAAAAAATTCTTCAAAACTACTTAGATATTAATGGTTTGTGTGATGTCAGTGTGTGTATTGTTTGTATGGGTCATCCTCAAATACCTCATCCATCCTCAAACACCTCATCTTGGTGGTATGGACCATACAAACTAAAAGGGGAGGAAAACGAATGGCTACAATGTGAATTCCAAGCAGGAGAGCAGCACGATGACGAAGGAACGGAGAGAAACCAGTGGATTGATGCTAATTTGATTACTCAAATAGCCAAGAGACAACAATTTTCGTTCATAGACGCAAGCCGATTCAGTAAATGGTCTAAACTAATAAAGTAACCATTTTTACCCTTAGATTCATCAAACGCTTAGATTCATCATAACAAAGATCTCGGAAGGCTTATCACACTCAACAGTGAAGGAAGTTGTCATAGCTCGACGAATGCTAATCAGACAAGCAACGACGGTGAAATAGCTAAATGATATCTTTATTA